AAAATGCAGAAGAAAAGATCAGTGAATTCAAAGACAGAAATAGAAACTATTCAAAATGAAACATAGGAAAAAAAACTAAAACAAACAACAAAACGAGCATCATTTTACTGTGAGACAACTTCAAATGATCTAATGCTTTTGCAGCTGAAGTTCCCAAAGATGAGAATACCTGAAAAAATAATGGCTAATTTTTCCAAATTAGATGAAAACTAAAAAACCTACAGATTCAAGAATCTCAACAAACCCCCAAAACATGAATCACGAAGGAAATTACATCAAAGCTCATCATAATTAAACTGCTTAAGACCAACGATAAAGAAAAAATTTTGAAAGCAACCCAAGAAGAAGCAAGTTCTAATGTACAGAGGAGCAAAGATTGAAAAAGACAGTAAACTTCTCTCTGGAAAGAATGCAAGGCAGAAGACAGTGAAATGCTGAAAGAAAGGAGGGGTCAACCTAGAATTCTATATTCAGCAAAAATTAAAATATCTTCCAAAATGGAAGTGAAATATACACTTTTCAGATTTACAAAAGCTGAAAGAATTCATTATCAAGAGACCTGCACTATATGAAATATAAAAAGAAGGAAGCTCTTCAGACAGAACGAAAATAATACCAGATAGAAATTCGAATTACACAACAAATGAAGAGCACTGTAATCGGTAAATACATGGATAAGTATAAAATGCAACTTTTCTTACCACTTAAATGTCTTTAAAAGATAAATAACTATCTAAAGCAAAAAATAACTATCTAAAGCAATAAATAACTATTTAAAGCAAAAATAGTAATAATGCATTTTAGGGTATATAACACATGAGGATGTAACATGTATAACACAAAGACTGAGAGGAGGGAACTGAAAATATACTATTGTTAGGTTCTTAGACTATAGATTAACTACTACAATATTATTTACATAGGGAGACTATGATAAATTAAAAATGTATAACATAAACTCTAAAGCAACCACTGAAAACAAGGGCACAGCATACAAGCAGAACAAACAGAAAATAAACAGCAAAACGCTAGATTTAAATTCAACCATATCAATAATCAGTTGAAATGTAAATGGTCTCAACACCTCAATTAAAAAGCAAAGATCATTAAATTAGATTAAAAAGCAAGACTGGCCGGGCGCGGTGGCTCACGCCTGTAATCCTAGCTCTCTGGGAGGCCGAGGCGGGTGGATTGCTCGAGGTCGGGAGTTCAAAACCAGCCTGAGCAAGAGCGAGACCCCATCTCTACTATAAATAGAAAGAAACTAATTGGCCAACTAATATATATAGAAAAAAAATTAGCCGGGCATGGTGGCTCATGCCTGTAGTCCCAGCTACTTGGGAGGCTGAGACAGAAGGATTGCTTGAGCCCAGGAGTTTGAGGTTGCTGTGAGCTAGGCTGACGCCATGGCACTCACTCTAGCCTAGGCAACAAAGCGAGACTCTGTCTCAAAAAAAAAAAATAAAAAGCAAGACTCAACTATATGCTATGTACAAGAAATCTATTTCAAATACAAAATAGGTTAAAAGTGAAAGGCTGTATCATGCTAACACTAGTCAAAATAAAGCTGAAGTGTCTATATTAATATCAGACAGTATAAATCTCAGAGCAAGGAATATTACCATAGATAAAGAGGATCACTTCATAATGATAAAGGGGTCAATTCATCAAGAGGACATAACAACTCTAAACACACTTAGAGAATACATCTCCAAAAACCATGAAGTAAAAAATAATAGAAGTGTAAGCCACAATTGTTGTTGGAGATTTTAACACCTCTCTTTCAATAATTGACAGAACAAGTAGATAAAAATCAGTAAAGATACAGAAGATCTGAAGAATACTATAAGCAATCTTGATCTAACTGACATTTATACAATACCCTACACAATGGACTATACAGTCTTTTCATGTGCTGAGGAAACATTTACCAAGATAGAGCATATTCTGGGCCATAAAGTAAGTGTCAATAAATTTAAAACAATTCCAATTATACAAAGTGTGTCCTCTGACCACAACAGAATTAAATTAGAAATCATTAACACAAAGATATCTCAAAAATCCCCAAATATTTGGAAACGAAATGACACACTTCTAAAAATTAATGAAAAATTCTGCCTGTTTTGAAGAAATAGTACATTTCTTTTTCTTAGATTATAACTGTTATATAAGCTACACAGTTTTTGCCTAGGCTATCAAGAAGCTCAGGGCTAAACAAAAAGTTTAATCACAATAATCATACCTATTATCTTATTTATCTTAGTTTAAGCATCTAATATGTGATTTTACAGACTCTAAGGATATAAGACAATCCTTGCTTTAAAGCCCAGTTTAATGTCACCTAATAATCAGTATATTTGTAAACCCCAACTATTTTCATTTGCCAAAGTCTCTACTTTAATAGCTATTTTATAAATATGTCCTTTCTTTAAAATTGCCTTTAACCCTTTCCAGAAATAGTTGTTAGCCCCTTGCTATACCCAACTAGGTACTCAAGCATAAGAATTTAATATTAGCCTATATTAAACATAATTCAAAATATATGAAATTATGAAAAATTAATAATTATAGTTGCAAGGCCAAATAATGATGGCTTTTTTTTTTTTCTATATATATATTAGTTGGCCAATTAGTTTCTTTCTATTTATAGTAGAGACGGGGTTCTCGCTCTTGCTCAGGCTGGTTTCGAACTCCTGACCTTGAGCAATCCGCCCGCCTCAGCCTCCCACCCGGCCTAATGATGGCTTTTTGGATGATCTATATCAGCATGCTCCTCTCTTAGAATAAATAACCAAGAGTTGACTGTCTTTAAATAAATATATCATCAGCAACAATCTAAAATTTTTCACATCAAAGGAACAAACAAGTAACTCAATATATAGGAAAATAGTGCTCAAGTTGGTGGAGGTATTCTCTTACTGAAAAGGGAAGTCAGGAGGTATAGAAAAGACAACAATATGCTCAGATGGTACAAAAGGCCTGCACTTGGTGAGCACCAAGATGATAAAACAGAGCTACATTCAGTAAGCACCAAGGTGGTACAATAGAGCTGCACTCTGTGAATGCTAAGGTTGAATGTAAGGTTGTTAACAGAACTGCACTTTGTATGCTCAGAGAAAGATTGGGATGGAGTCTTGCCTCTACAGTGCCTACCTTACAAACTCTCTGGACCTCAGTTTCCTTCTCTGTAAAATGTGGGGGCTACAACAGATGATCTCTAAGGTCTCTTCCAGTTCTACAATTCTAAAGAACTAGTTTGGTCAGAGTGTCAAAGAAAACATCCCAAAAGGAGCTCTGTTGTACCTCCTCATCACAAGCTATTTAAATTATAAAAACTAGACTTGATAATGCCACATAACACATTCTAGGTGCTGTATTAGGTGTGATATGGAAGAACTCTGGATTGTACTAGCAACCAGAAGATCTGAGCCTTAGTTTTTCTCTAACCTTACTAAAAGTGTAAACAATTGTAATTTCATTGTTGTTATTCTTCATTTCCTAGATCAGAAAAAGGATGCTATGGAAAATCATGCTATCAGAAAATGCTATCAGAAAATATATGCTATGGAAAGAGAATAAATTCATCACTGTGAATAGCTAAGAAGGTATCTTGGAGATGAACCTTCTGCTGGAGATGAAAAGATAGATGGAAATCAGAGAGATAAGCAGTAGCAGTACAAAGGCTGCATGGTGTAATAGAGGACATGAGCTTTGGAGTTACACGCACTTCATTTGAAATCCTGGCTCTGCCTTTTCCAACAGTGTGAATTTGGACAATACAGCTTTCTGAGTCTCAGTTTCTTCAAATTTAAAATAGATATGCTTACTTTGTAGTTTTAGGGATTAAAGACAACAGTTATATAACACTTAGCATAATACCTGGCATATAGTAGTCACTCAAAAAATAAAAGCTTTCATTACTAAAGTCCCAGAGACTGAAGATGAAGGGTATAGCAGACTGGCAAAGCAGAGGGCATGTCTGTAATGGCAGGTGGGAGCCAAAATGTGGAGGGACCGACCAATTTGTGGGGAGGGTAAGGAGCAAAGCAGGCATGACCAGTTTGTTAGCTAAGCCTAGTGTTTCTGTGGGGTTAGGAATGGAGGTAGTGAAGGGTCCAGTCAGAGGTGCAATCCAAGATAAAGTGCATGAGGGAAATCTGAGATTAAAGATGAAGGGAAGATCAAGCACCAGCAGCCAGTGGCAGAGATTAAATATGAAGTGGCATGGCAGGACTGAGATCTTACAGTTTGGCAGAGATGGGATATGGATTACGAACAGGATCGGACCAAGTAAAGAGCACCTTAGGCAACAGTCTAGAACATCCCTGAGTTACGTGTAGCATGACTTTATTGGTAGGCGTGCTGCTTGGATATTTCAGGACACCATAAGGAGTCAGAAGTCCCACAAACATCTTGGGCTTTATGTTGTGCACAACTGAGCATGGGGGTGGGCAAGACAGATACATGGTCAGATGTGATTCAACTTCTCAAAAGGTACATGAGAAAAGAAAAAGACTAAAAGTACAGTGAGGAAATTATTTCAAAAGTCCAGCTGTGGGTAATGTGAGCTTGATCCAAGGCCACAGCCAGGGGGATGAGAATAGAAAGAGACAAATGGATACATTTCAGAAAAAATTTGTAACAAGATATGGCAATTTACAGGATGTGGCATATAAAGGAGGAAAAGAAATGCACGAATACAAAGGTTTTGAGCTGCATGACTAGGAAGACAGTGATGTCACTTAGCAGAAAACACAAAAAGAAGTGTTCTCTTCTTGGTGAGAAGAATTACAATGTCAGGACCTTACAAATGACCATTTTAAGGCATCCTTAAAATATTTTCAGGTATCTGAATGTCATCCAGGGCCACAGCTTCCCCTACCTACCATCCAAACCTTAAAGCATTTCATCTCCTCTTTGACAATACCTGTGACTCAAGCTAACAGAGGAAAGGAAAGTGGTGAGCATCAAGAATTTCATAAAATGTATCCAGTGCTTACCTTTACAGCTAATATTTTCCCACTTGGGACATGATATGCTCTATGGAAAGAAAAAAAAATAACAAAATTACTCAAGATCACTAAACAATCTATAAAATGGTTAAGGACATAAATGTAAATCCAAACATCTCTGCGGCAATGGGATACATGGTACTTTCAAAGAACACTAATAACATTAGTTATTTATATTTCTATGGAGCTTAATGGTTTACAAAGGGATTCATTATACGTTGTCTTAAAATAACCCTCTGAGGCAATGACAATACACTATTACCCTCCTTTTATAGATGAGAACTCTGAAGCATAGAGAAGTTAAGAAGTTTGCCCACTGGCACAAAGTGAGCAGTGGTGGAATGAGACTTCAAATCCAGGTCTTTTGGCTTCAAATTCCTTATGACTGTCACTGTGTGTGTGGGTCCTCTGTCACCCTATGCTAAGCACTGTACAGAGCCACAAAAAATGCTAAGGTTTTGCTTGTATTCCTTTCAAGTACATATGCAGATAATACATATCACTACATTTCAACAAAAGAATCTCAAAACACATAGAATTAGCTATGGCTTATGATATAAATTTCATACAAGAAATCACAGAGTTAAAAAGGCTCAAGCATGTGGTTCAACTTTTCCTAAAGAAAAGGAGGCAAGCTCAAAGTATCAGATATACTGAAATAACTATAACTTAAATCAAGAAATATAAATATGTTCATTTATGAAAAAGTAAGAGAACAAGGTTTATATAAATAAAGTACTATTACTTTTCATCAAGACCTTTCATGCTTAAATAAAACGTGGCCTTTACACAGACTGGATATTCTGAACATAATCTAAGAATAATCTGCCTTATATTATATAAAAACTTCAAAACAAACCACATAAAATAAACAAAGTATTGTTACTGCAAGACCATAAAAGTATAATAAAGGAAATTAGTTTGGAAGAACTAAAATCTTGCTCTGCAGAGGAATTTATACATTAGCCAAGATCAGATTGCTCTTCTTCTGACCTGGGTAGGGTTAAGATGTGAATGGGGTAGGGAAAATGTGGGGGGATAGAAGTTAATGCCTTAGGATTCCCCCATCCTCACCTGCCCAGTTGCAAAATATATTTTACAGGCCCTGAAACTGCTCACTTCTTAAAAATAAACAAAACTTATATACTCCACCATAACTGAAATAGAAACATCATGTTCTGCTGTTTTGGCAAAAATGTTTCCTTGTTTGCTCTGACAAATTTTAACAACTTTACAGAGATATAATTTACATATGATAAAAATCCACTTGTTTTAAGGGTACAATTCAATAATTTTTAGTAAATTTACAGAGTTGAGCCATCACTGACAAATGTTTCGAAAGTTATTGACTTATGGAAATGGTTTATTTATTAAGAGTCTATAGGTATTTGTAATATTTCCACATGTAAAATGTTACAAATTCAGGCAAGACTAGGAAAACACATGCATGCAGTATATGTATGTATTTAGCCAAATATATGTGTGGTGTAAGAAATTATTCATTCAGCTTTTACTACTTGAACGGACAAAGGTCAATCCAATTATGGAATGTATACAAAGTTAGTTTTTATTATATTAATTAATTGGACAGAAATTCAGGTGTATCTCATTTAAAGGAAAGGTAAGGTCATAAAAATTAGGTGACAACTGTTCACTTTACCAAAGAATTCTTTAACCTGTGAAAGTATCTAAAGACTTTGTCTAAACAACAATCTCCCTAGTACCTATTACTTATAAAACTTTAACCAACTAAAAAAATTTTTTATACTTTTTGTATAATATAAAGTGATACACATTTTATGAATAGAACCCTCATATTATATTGGTTTTAGAACATACTGCCACTTACTTTACTATCTATTTTAACATCACCCTTTTAAAATGCAAAGCTAAATTTCAGGTTAATTTGATTCATGATCTATCTAAACTCATATAATAAGCTGATTTATAAAAACTTACACTGTACTTACCTACTGCCTGGCAGAGAAGTTGTTGGACTAAGCTAATGTGAAATGTGATTTGAAGGAATTTAGTAACCTTATTATATGTAAATATAGGTAACAAAATACATAAGGTTAATGATGATACATTATTTTCTCTCTTCTACGTCACGGATATTTAAATTTCAACTTTTTAAAATACTGTATGTTAGAATCACTAACCAAGGACTGAAATAGGAAGACAAATAGTTGAATGCATACACAGGATTCAAAAGTTGTAAAAAGATTAGTGTTATTACTTTGAACAAGCAACACCTGGACTTTTGAGACCAGCAGCAGCAATAAGAAAATGATTAGCAGACAGTCTAACATACATACCATACTGGACAGTTTGGCAACGTAATTAGCTTGTCAAGAAAGTCGATCTCTTATCCAAAAGAAAAGTCTCCTATTTCCAAGTGAATTAAACGGGGAGGCTTGATAATTTAATTATGATGCACGCCAATTCATCCGTGGAAGTTTGGGTTCAATTTCTAGCAATGAAGATGCTATGTGGTTTGGTTTACAGTACAATGACAGCACCAGTTTAACATTTAATCATCAAGGAGAAGCGGATGACAAAAGCAATGCCAGGCATGAGTCGAGTGTGTCCCTTAACTTTGCAAATGGCATTCTACCTGGAGAAAAGGAACTTGTTTACTTTCAACAGATACTGCATCTCAATTGTCTTGACCTTCCTCCACACATTAATTGTAAAGTGATTAATGAAGTTTGAATGGAGGCTCTGGTTACACCAAAAGACAACTATACACCTCTGCAATGTTTTAATTAACAGCTAACACTTCAAATTAGTTTGCTGTTGCCACAGTAATTACCTGTTCCAATGAGCATAGAGGAAGCATTTTTATGAGATATTTTTAGTGTTTAGTACTTGAGTGTTCCATTTTGTTTGTGGCCAGAACAGGCCTTCTGGGAATAGCCCCAGCCCTTAAAATTAAGCATACGACATTATACACTTTAGGATGGCAAAAGCTAGTAGCCTAACATAAATTTTTTGGACATTTAAAATAACAAAGAGCCCAGCACAACAGAATATTTACTATCCATACTTTCTTACTTTCTTTTTTCATTTGGAACAATAGGTTCTAGAATCAGGGATCCTCAAACTTTTTAAACAGAGGGCCAGTTCACTGTCCCTCAGACCGTTGGAGGGCCATTGGAGAGTGCGGCGCACATTCCACACATGTGCACCGTGGGCCCCGGTCGGCTGCTAAGCAGGACAGGCAGTGGTGGCAAAAACACCCAACTGGCCAGATAAATGTCCTCGGCAAGCCGCATGTGGCCCGCAGGCTGTAGTTTGAGGATCCCTGTATCTAGATGAATGGACAAAGAAGTTGGTACCAACCTTTAATATTGGTAAGAGTACAGAATCAGAGAATTTACTGAGCTAGTAGGAAATAAAGAAAATTATCCAGTCTAATCCTTTTCTTTTACAGCAGAAACACCCAAAAGCCAGGTTAAATAACTTGTCCAAGCTCACACAGTCAGTGGCAAAGCCAAGACTGGAACTACAGCAGAATATACATATTTTAGGGCCTAAAGGAAACATGTGATTTAATTTTTCTTAACTACATTCTAGGGCAGGGAAACCCATAATTCAAAACTTAACAAAGGTATGACCTATTTCAATCAGCCTAAGTAAGGACCATTACATCTGAATCTCTCCAGGCTAGGAAGCACTTTGTAATCATTGCCAATCTATCCTTGAGAGGCAGAAGAGCAAAGGGCATAGGCTCTTAAGTCACTGCCTGGGCTCTGATCCGAGCTCTGCCACTTCTTAGCCATGTGAACCTGTTAGTAAACCTCACTATGTCTCAGTTGTCTCAAGCCTGGAATAGGGAAAGCAGTGTCTACCTTATAAAGTAGTAAAGATCCAAAGAGATAATACTGAGGAAATAAACTGGCACTCAGTAAACATGCATTAAATGTTAGGAAGCTAAGTGTTCAGAGTAGCTGAGTATTTTAAGAGTAAAACCTGCTAAAATGGACTGAAAGAGCAAGAATATATCCTCTAAGGGTCAGGCTATGTGCTCTACAAATGAGCCTCTAACAAAGCTTTAATAACAACAAACTGGCAAAAGCTCACAATATATCTTTTATCATTAAAAAACTTAAGTAATACTACTTCATGTTGAACCAACTCTAAAGACAAAAAATTAGAGTCATCTGAAATATCGATATGCTATGATTCAAATTTTAGATTTCTTATCAGGTTTATTTCTAGCCTACTATAGGTATGATGAGTGCTCCATTTAGGTGTGCATCTCAGTAGAAACACCATTTGATTATCACTGTTGCTAAATGAGAGGCCAATTTTTCATTCTCCTTGAGTTAATAAATAGGAAAATATAAGCTATCCTAAAAATACCTACATACCTTCCTTTAATATACATCCTTAAAAATGCTATAAAGTAATATTTTGACACCTGTCCAACTCTTCAAATTTTAGTTGCTCTATTATTGCTCTTAGCTCACTGCAAAAACCTATTTATGTGCCTCTCCCATACTGAGCAGTGAACACTGCCATGTCTTAATCAACTTTGTATTCTTTATGCTTAGCAATGAACTGGCCCATGGTAGGTGCTCCATACTTAATAAATGTTTGACAAATAGTAAATATTTCTGGCTTGAAAAAGATCTATCACTTAGATAGTGTTTTATTTTTAAAAATTCCATATACATTTAATTAATTCTATAATCTTATGAGAAGCTATTATAATCCCCCATTTCATAGGTAAATTTCTAACCTGAATCAAAACTCTTTACAAGGATTTCATGATCTGGCCCCTGGTTACCTCAATGATTTCTGTTTCTGCCAATCTCCTTTATCCACAATACTCGTTTTGCTCCTCCAAACATGCTGCTGCCTCTGGGCCTTTCCAACTATTCTTGACACCTGGACCATTTTCTCTGATACCCACTTGGCTTGCTCCATCACTTTTTTCAGGTCCAATATAACTTTCTTGACTTTCCTACATAAAACAGCCCACTCTCCCTTCACTTTCTTTATTCTTCATAGAATTATCAA